ATGATTCGATTTCTTCGTTTGGTCGTGCTGAATGCGGCACACTGAAAGCATATGTATCTCGTAGGTATCTCTGTACAGGATTTTCGACTCTCGTACAAGGATCTGGTTACGATATAGGTCCGATGGAAATTCGTTGTGCCGTAATAATTCTGTGATACACCGACTAATGGTAAGATCGATATGTACCTATCGATCAATATGCACGGGAATCATGCTCCACGCACCAATGTCTTTCGAAACTAATCGCCGAGAGCGACTGCATCCACGGTGCAGCAAGTTTAATTACATAGACAGATTCGTTGTCAGCCGTACATGTAGCCGCGTGGATAGCGCGTTAATACACGGGCGTGCATTGTTCGAGCAATAGAACATTTCGAACGAGATGCCATTACAAGAAGTAATTTCTCGTTCGTGTTTCGTTTTCGGCAATAAAGGCGAACGTTCGTCCCTATAATCATGGTACACGAAATGCTTTTACTCGTAGGTTCAGAGTTGCAAGCTGTGACGGGATATGCTAAACCTGTATCGTTGGAATGCTACTGATACTCGAATTGCAGTTGTCGTTTCAGCGCAGTGGCTCAAGCTCAACTGGGTGGAACGCAGAACGTCAGAAAGGATTCTGGATATGACGGTGCAGCGAGCAGCACGGTGATTCACGAACCGTTAGAAACGAATTCCAGTCCCAGCCCGAACCCACGAATCACCTCAGCTCCGTCGTCCTCCACTTCTTCGTCGCCGCCTCCGAAAAGTGCTACGACGAGCCAAGCTTCGCAACCCAAGAAGAACGGCGCTGAAACGAACAAGCAGGAATTAAAGAGGCTCAAGAGCGCCGGTTCTCTTCTTCCTCTTCAACTTGGACGAACGCCAAGCGTCTTGTCTGGCTCGTCTACCTGTAAGAAGGACAAGAAAAATGCCGTTTCTGGCTCCCGGTTTACAATATACAAAGCCAACAAGGCGAGCAAGAAGAAACGAGAGAAAAGCTCCGCGAAAAAGGAGCGCAAAGCTACGAAAACGTTGGCTATTGTGTTGGGTACGTCCGGTCGATTATTCTCCTTTCCTATCGCCCGACAAAAAGGAAATCTATTCTCTTTTACAGGTGTCTTTTTAATTTGTTGGCTGCCATTCTTTACCTGCAACATCATGGACGCGATTTGCACGAAGCTGACAGCGAACTGTCAACCGGGTGTCACTGCTTTCATCGTGACCTCTTGGCTAGGCTACATGAACAGCTTCGTAAATCCCGTGATTTATACTGTGTTCAATCCCGAATTTCGCAAAGCCTTCCATAAATTGGTCAGCTTCTAGACAAATTACAGCATTTAAAGTCGCGTTTATCTTGAAAGCAGGAACAACGAGACATCGGACAATCGAACAGCTCAACATTTGTTCCAGCTAAAGGTATTTATCGTATTCGCAGACCTCTTTCGTAGTCGCGTCGTTTTTCGTAGGTAGACGTTTGAAAACCAATAACTTCCTGTGGCTCATTCTACTGAATCGTGTTTAAATTTCGCGACGGACTTGAGAAACATTAGCCGCGCCGTCACAAATTGCAACGTAACGAAACTAAATCGAAGCTTCTTACGAGTGAGAACGGAATTACATCGCGTACTTTTTACTCGTTGTTTATCGGAAGTGCGGATCATCGTTAGTATTCTCAGCACTCTCACACCCAACTATCGCGCGATTTCATTGGTCGATATCCCGGCAATATCACACCGGAGGCAACGTGCATCGATGTTAGAGCTGAATTACCAAATAAATATTTAAGCTAACGATAAGTAGTCGAATAAATGATACACGAAGTAATCGGAAACGAGCGTCAAGGTGTTAGAAACACAACGACGTGGTTTATGCGTTGAACGCGTTCAGATTCGCGTTATCCTACCATTTCAAGTAATCTAGTTGCATAAATAACAGAAGCACAAAAAGGAAAGAAGGGAATTCCAGTAGATATATTAAGACGATAAACATCAAGTCAAAAGGTAAAATCAATGGAATGCGTGTTTGAGCGAAAACACATTATACGTATATGTACTTTGTCGGATATTAAATATACCGTGACAGTATTATCGTAGCTCCTAAGGTGTAGCAATATTTTTTGGCTCAATGCAAAGGAACCGAATTGTCAGTTCCACGACAAACTTACGCGTTCTGTACACCTGCGCGTCTAATCGAACGTCTTTGTACTATGTACGATTATTCGAACGAAGTACTGTCTCCTTCGTATCGTTTCGAAATTCTTCCGTCGCGCCGTTTCGTTTGTCCTTCTAGCATGCGAGAAAATCGAAGAACAAGCTTCCGAAATTCTTGCATCGCGAGTCATGAATTATACGCGAATTTTATAAATCCACGAAGAGGACGATGGTTGTGCAAGCTTTGGGATCGTGTTTTTCGATTCTCCAAAATTCATTCGTGCAGAAAGGGAAAAGAATTCGAGTAAGTCTGTCGAACGTGTTCGATGCATACCGTACCATCTCTACTTTCGCATCTATTTTATCATTTAACACTTCGACGAGAGAATTACCATATTGTTGAACTATTTACATATCCAACTAGATACTCAGTTGCAGGATTTAAAGTTTATATGATATTCCGCTCACGAGAGGTTCTCGAAGATCCGTTTCTTGTTGCAGTCGCTTTCCTTCGATTCCCTCTAGCGTTTCTTCAAAGTGAATTGTTTGAAACACGTTGAAATTATTCGCACATGTTCTTTTTTCTGTCGAACATTTTCACGTTACGACGTCATTTGTTCCAATTCTAATAAAAAGTTTATGTATTATCTTCGGTGTGTTAACCGCGCGGAACGTTCGCGCTCGACTCTACGGAAACGAAAATCGATAGCGGAAGGCGTCCGCTTGTTTTTGCCTCTCCCCTGGCTTTGAGAGCCCAAAGGAATTCCTCGTAAAGATGGCCATTGTATGCTCATGACGCGTTCGATAGAATCGAAGAAATAACGAAACACACTCGATGCATGCAGAAACACCTGCATCGGCTTCGCTTCGTGTTCCATTTCCGCAAACGTTTTTAAAGTTCCCGGCGTCCGAATTTTCAAACATATCAATACAAGTACGAAGCATGATATCTAACCGTATACTGGCATCCGAGACACGCTTATCGAGCATGTGTATGTGTGTTAAATGGGCTACGCGAAACGGAAGATACCAAATACTAGCGAACGTAAAACGTTATCGTAAAAAACACTTGTTTCGCGGGACCCGCGATCCTGCAATAACGTCTACAATCAGAGCTTTTTACTCCATGAGTTCTACGAATACGTCGTATCACGTAACTTTAAACTTCCAATGTATATTTGTACATAATTAGTAGAAATTAGTAACGAATTATTCGAACTGTGCAATCGGTTGTAAGGCGATACGTATCCCTACGTACTCGATCGCCTGCTAAAACCTAGAAACACTGCAATTACTAAACACTAAGAGTAACGATAGTGTGTATCGCTAAATGCTAGGCAAACATTTAGGGAAACTCTTGTCGATGAATTGTGATAAAGCTAGGTTTTGTTACGTACATTTTACCTGGTAACCTGTTTCGAGATATTATACAATTCTTCGATAATAATTTATCCTACCGAACGAATCGTTCGCAAATCAAGTGTTTTATCTTCCAACGTTTTCGTTATTCGTCGAACTGATCGTAATCGACCGAGAGAAACGAAGTTTGCATCGGATTAGTGAGTGAAATACAGGGTTAAAATATTATACCGCTTCATTTTCGCACGAACCTCTTAATTCACGTACCTCAAACTTAAATCTCTTAAACCGGTAGCTACGTACATCCGTTTCGTTATAGAGAATCCTCGCCAACAGACTGAGAACTTTATGCCCTTTCATAATGGCGTAACGAACTTTTCACCTAGTTATTGGGGCCGGTGAAATTTAAACGAGTGCCGATTCGCGACAGATCGTGCCACGTGCCATTTTACGCCACCGCAAGATAAAAGGTGCTTCCGCACACAACGGTAGATTATTAATTGGCAAAGTTCCCGTCCTTCGCTCTCGGTCGTTAACGACAGTATAACAACGAAACTTTGGATCAGCGATCTCCGAATACCTGTAAACCAGTCGCAGATTTTTTTTCATTCGCGAGAAAATTATCTTCGAGAAGGAGCACCGACCAAAGCTTTTTCCTTAATCACTTTGCGATTAACCACGACAACAGGCAGAAACTCGAACTGTATTTCCACGCTGAACGAAAATCAACAAGCCTAGCATTTTCTTTTAACGCAACGCACTTGGAAATGCATTATAAAGTTTCTTACAATCCTGCTAAGATCGCTGTATTTTTCTAACCCGATACATTCCCTTCTCTGTATATAAATGTGTATGTATTATACATGATATACGTACGCGACATAGTGTATCTGTATTGTACCAAGAGAACATGAGGATAGCGCTGTGCATCTATGTAAATATATATCTAATAGACAAAGAACGCGAGCGTATACGAACTGACTGCAAAAGGATCGATAACGTTTCCAGGGATTCTAATTGAACTTGAATCACGGAAATTCTCGAGAACTCGTAGCAGGCCAGTTTCAACTTTCTCGAGGCGCGAGACACTAAGAATAAACGCAAAACGAATATAAGTCAAGTGGAATGTCTTCTAACTGTCCATCGAAAAACGTGTCGCTTTGGTGAGAGAGAACTACATTTTTCCTATGACTTTCTTAATAATTATTACGAATGGTCTATACAGGGCATAGATGTAAGAGATAAATCTTTAATTTGCCGAGACTAACTATAAGCATAACGAATCAAATGGAAAAGAAATGAATATTCAGAACGCTGTATGTACCGATGGCAATACCTATACATATTCACACGCGAATGGAACACATGGGACACATACATACACGATTAATCAGAGATAAGACAAATCGAATACATGGACACTTGTCGAAATTAATAAAATATAGTATAAATTGAAGACGAGTTTTCATTTTACAAGTTCTAGCTTTACGAAGGAAGAATATAGCGGAAGGTAAGTGGCAAGATATTAAATTCATTTTCGTATCTTTGCAGCGTAGAAAACACTTGCCTCTGCAGATTTTTAGAGATCGATGGAAGACGAAAAGTCGGCTGTCCTCGTGGTATTTGTTCGAATCAGTGCAATTCACGGTGAGAATGGTCCATGGGCCAGTGAGTACGAACGTTGGCCAAATTGAATCTACAACGAAATCGGTTCGGGCTGACTTTTACGAATATCCCTCAAACAGTGAATGCTTCCTATAGTGGTAAGAAGAAAGATATGGGCCGGTGATCTCTGAAATAGCCTGCCTGAAAAAGTACGATGGATCGAATAATGTCAATAACCCAGATAACGCACGATGTGTTAATAGTATTATGTCAGAGTCAATATTGAATGATGATAAAAAGGATTATACGTATAGGCAATGGATTAAACAGGATTAATAAAATTGGACGGATGAAGTTGACGGAAATCGATTCAGAAGAAACGCTGATAATCTTACTATTTCTATTAACAAATATTTATTTCTATTATAATAGTAAATTAAATTATATAGAGATAATATTTACGGAATAACACTATGAAATATTTCTCGACGTAACCTAGAGTTTCTTAAACTTTGGCAACTTGCTAGAATATTTTGTAACGCTATAAATAAACACGTGGTTTTGTACCGATTGGTCCAGTTAGCTTCTACGTTCACCACAAGCGTTGACCCAATTTTACCTACAATAAAAACGTTACATACACGATATAGTAAAATCATTTCGCTACATTCGTAAATAACCGCATAATTCTCATGCTGAAGTTCGCAATTAAAGCACATTATGGACGCTGTGTTTACGATGTCGTTGTAACAGCATTGAATGGCTTTATATCGCGTTCCTGTTCGTGCATGTGTATTTGCCGATGGAAAAAATTCCACCAGGTCGATAAGTTTTCGCGACTATCAGTTAATCCGTAAGTTTGGAAACATTTAAAAAGTCGCTCTATTAAAATGCAACAATCGATGCACGGTTTAAAATTTCTACGTGGTATAGTCAGCTATTACCAGCGAACTTCCATCGTGAATACGTAACTCGTGTTACAAGTATTTGAAACAAAATACGTTCTCGCATGCTGATGGGAAAATTTTCTTGTAAAACGAACCACCAAACTCGAGTGCACCAACTTCCCCCATACGTGTATCGTGCAAGTTAGAACGTATCCACTGCACTGGAATAGGTTTACCAATTTCTCGAGCTTCATATTGTATAAAGTAACAAGCGCAAAAAATTCCATGTTGAAAAAAATCTAACACCGCAAACAAGATGGAAATTTCATACGAGTAAGGACTTTCAACATTCTTCAGGCCAACTCCTCTCCTAAATCCACGCAGCTATTCGTCGAAACTTTACCTTAGAGAAAGCAGGAAGTTGATATCGCGGCAATTCTGGCAAACTTAATCCCAATTTTCCAATGTCGAGGTTCGTGGAACGTAAAGTAGGACTAGTTGAACGCAAGGTGTAATCTATCCCTCCGAAGCCGCCTAATTGTAACTGCAACCCTGTACAAACCACACGCGTTCTACGAATTAGGTTTTAAACGTTTGGAAAAATAAAGCGGAAATGTCGTGTTCACAAATCCGTGACGGGACAACCGCGTAATTACGTACGATCGATATACCTGTGGAATATGAGTGAGTCCTCGCCGGTTCAAACGGTCGCAACTGCCCTCCATATTGGACATTTTCGCCAAAGTTCAAAGTTGACACACCAGTGGGAACGTTCGATGAGAGGCTGTTGGGTATTCCTGCCGATATGTCGGTGTTTATTCCACCAGGTAGACTGTTGAATGTGCTGCCGATATGATTACTCAATATGTTCGCGGACAAGCCAGAAGACAGAGGTGTACCTGGAGTGAAAACACGCGAATCATGGAGAAACAATTACATAATTGCGGTTGACAAGAGTCTTCCATGAAATTTCGTACGTTCGCCGCATATTACGTTGCTTGTCACGCTCGTAGAGAGAATCGCTACGAATTTAGTAACTTGGAAAATACGGTTAATTAATTTTAAACTTCCCTAACCGAAAGCGATGTAATAGCAAAGAAGTGAAAAGATGGACGTTTATCTCGTATGCGGATTATTTTCCCGGTGATAAAAAGAAATCCATCGAAGTTGAAGACCCACGAGAGAGAACGAGTGGATGGATTTTTGAGAATTATAACTGAACTCGGGGCGAAAGTATTGAGCAGAAAGTGGGCTTCCCAATAAAGTTGACCACGATTCGCGGCTCTTTCGCACTGGGATCTGGCAATAAAAGAGTCGAAAGATTAAATTTCTCTTAACGACGGAATCCCTGGGGGCGAGTCCCTCTCGGTCATCGAAGAACGATTTGGTCTGAACCTTATCGATTCGTATGAAGTGGCTATACCTAACGAGAGGCCAGAAGATGTGGACGAATCTTGAGGCACGAAAGCAGACACTCTTGGCGGTGTTATTGGAATGTAGTTTATCGTCTGCACTGGCCGAGAAACCGCTGACAAAGTTGCAATCGGTATACTTGGGAGTGTCATCGTTGGCCTCTCGACTATCGTGGTTAATGGAACATGATTCGCAGTTTCCGATAGAGATGATTGTTGGAAAGGTAGACCATGGTTCGATTCCTGCTGCAGCAGATAGCTCAACAGAGAACTCTGCAAATTGTTCTTCAGAACGCCCTTTGAGTTTTCTGGAAGTATGTAATTCAGTACCATGCTAGGGATCTTGTTGTTTAGGCTGTTGTTCGACGTATCTGGAAGTGCTTGGTTCAGCGGCAGAATTTGCACGTTGCTTTTGATACCATCTTTCTCCTGTTGGGATAGCAGATAATCAAGCATGGACTGTTGGAACTTGTTCTTTAACTCATTGGAGAGATAATAGGGCGTCGGTGAAGTGAACGTAGTCGGTTGAAATACAATCGGAGGTACGGTTCTGCAAGAAAAACAGAAACAGAATGCGTACAATTCGGAAAAATGAATGCTGATTCAATCGTACAGGATGTCAGCTCGAAGTTCCGTGGGACGTAATGTTCTAATAACGTTAGTTTCAGAAATACACCTTGAACACGGTGCGATAGTGGCGGAGGAAAAATCACGATCGATCATACAAGTAACGAATCTTGACAGTGCTATTACGTACTGTCGTCCGAAAGATATGATTGGAGATTCCGTGTCCATGACAGGTAAGCTAGCTTCGGTGGTCGGTAAACGAGCCAAGTTCGAAGACTGTTTTGTGGTAACCATAGAGGCTGGTATCGTAGAAATCGTTGAAGCGGATACGCTCGTGGTAGCAGCATCAGCCAGCTGAAAGCAATTACTAACTTGCATTGGACCTCCTAAGATTCGCGGTCGTTACTTCACTCGTACGGATTCAGTTGGGAAATTGTAAAGAGGTTACTGTAAATGTTGATTAAAAGTTCTTCAAGCGTCGGATTAAACTTCATTTATTACTGTTGCAAAGAAATAACGAACGAGCCAGCAAAGTGATCGGTAAGTTGTATAAGCAAAAACGAAAGATTCAGCGGAAATGTTACTAAAATGGGCACTACGCTGTGCTGTACCGCTAAAATTGAATACGATGTCATGATGTACGAAAAGTATATTTCGCTCACCGTATCGGATTTCACGGTTGGCATTGTCGCCGTATTCGAGTGCGAATCCATTTTCAGCTCGGAAGTTGTAGATGTATGAACTTGGGTGGTAGCTGAAGTTGCGGAGGAGACAGTAGACAGTTGCCATGGTTTGTGGGTGGTTGTCGGAGCCATTGAGGGTGTCATCGTCGTGGATGCTTCCTCGCTCAATGGCAGAACGTTTCCATACGGCGAAATGGGTGGCACAGACACATATCCAAGACCATGGTTACCTATATCAAACAAATTCTTACTTATAACGCGAACTGTCCAAACATCTTTGTTCGAAGTATCTTTGATTCAAAGGATACGATAAAAACTCTTAATAAATGACATCAATTACAACCTTTCTTTTGATTAAAGTACTTACCATGCTTCAAATACTCCGAATCTCTACCAACTGAATCGACCTGTTGCTGTCCTGATTGTCCTTTGTAAAAGTCAATTGGTTTATCGTACAGATCGGCAAATCGAAAATCGTCGCGGAAAGGTTGCCGGTAAGAGGAATATCGATCGTCTTGATATTCAGGTCGCTGTTCATTTCCAGAAACCGTCTGATCTTTGTTTTGTTGATTTCTGAACGGTGTTCCATTCATAAAGATCGAAGATTGTCTATGGAAGTCCGGAGCATTCTTAAAAGACGAACTGTTATCGTAAAATAGTCGATTTCTCAATAATTCGTAATCTCGCAACAGCAATCGGTCCTTGAAAGACAGTTGCTCCGGAAAAGAATCCAAATCCTGTCTATAGGGTCGATGTCGGTAAGATTGGTAGTATTGCGTTTTAAACGATGGCTCTCGAAATGAATAATGTTGCCTGCGAGAAGAAGATGGATGCCAACCAGTCTCTTGATAAGGCGGAAACTCTTCCAAGGCACTGTATCTTCTTCCTTTCTTATACGCAGCGACAACCACAACCATCGACACGAATACGATCTGAGGGAATAAATTTACAGGTAATTTTGATTATTTATATTATCGTCACTGATTAGAATTTGTTATTAAGCGTCGACTGATCGGTATAAAAAACAGACGACTCACCAGTTTCTTCATTTGATCTTTTTTGCACGTTTCGGAGTGCGAGAAAGAAATTGTAAGTATAACCACGCGCAAAGATAGTCTGCGGTCTATCACTGCCATCAACTTTCTTATATAGTTAGGAAGCGGGAGAAAAGCTGTAACTCGCATCTTTTCCACTGCTCCTGGTTTTGTACGTCTTCCAGATCAGGTACGAAACTGGATCTGGTAAATCATGTAGATGGACGCCTTTCTCTTTCTATGACAGGTTCATTGCCAGATATACAATGAATCTGATATATTTTCACACGTGTAACGGCAAACCTAGAAGTTTGAGTGAAACTTTGTATTTTACTTTTGCGACAAAATTCAAGATTTGAACGAGTTGCTTGTTTCACGCAAGAAGCAAGAAATTTATTATTTTTACGACGTGTTTAACGAATAACGCGTCCTTTAGGCTCTCAATAATTTACACTCGCTGTAAAATCTCCTCTTTCTGCTTTATGTTTCATAAGTTTTCTTAGTAATTGTCGACATCCATTCATTTTATCTGGAACCATTCGACCTTCGATGAACGCTTTGAAACGGAGGAGTTCGCAATCGTAGGATATAAGGGTATTATAAGGTTTGTAGCAAAACCATAAAAGGTGTACGAGTGTACGTTCGTTGACTTTTAAAGAGGCAATAGAGATGGTAATAAAAATTATATGTCGACCACACTCATATATGTTCGACCTTCAATTCCGTATAAAAGTGTCGATAACTTGAAGTATAGATCCTGTTCGTTCATCTAGCCGACTAGACTAATTTTTATCAGTATAATTTTATCAGACATAATTTTATCAGTTTCTATTCAGGCACTGATCAATTGATTATGAGTTAGCTTTGAATGTATTAGTGTAGTTACCCGATTCAATTAATTCAGTGTATTCGAATATTAGCTATTAAATATTTATTATTACGTAATGGCAGTGGATTTTCAGCGCAAATGTGCGGCACTGTGTGTGCAAACGTGTCAGTGAAAATTAAATGTAAATTGCAAGTAATTTACGGAAATTCATTTTGCGAGATCCAAGAGTGTACTTATTCATCAAGACATTGTTTTCATTCCAAATATTTGTCACAGGAATCTCAGTTAGTTTTCAGGGAGAATCCATTATATGAATTATTATAAATGGTAACGTTGAACGAGCAAATGATCTCGGTGCAATTAGGGAATATCATTTATAGAAATGTACAGTACGAAACGCGCCCTATAATTTATGGAAGATGAACGGCGAACGTACTTAGTAAACCCTCTTACATCTTCTTCGATCTTTGCAGTTCGTTAATGCTAAGGTTGCAAAGCATTAAGTCGGGATTTTATTCGACGAGAAACTATTTCTCTTATCTTCGACACTCAAGCGCCGACCAAAATTAGCAAATATTACCTTCGAATATGCAATTAATCTTATTCCTTTAAAACTTTAAATCACTTTCTGTCTGAGTAGTGAAAGCTATTTATTTGAAATCTAAATGGAAGTCTATAAATCCCTTCAATAGATTAAACAAATATTTATCATCGTGTTACAAATCGATTTTGGAAAAGATTATCTTCTAGAAAGATAATAAAATTAGATAACGTTAGATAAAGCCAATCATAAAAATGGTAATTGGGATTATCTGTCGTACGCGAACGCGAGTATTTGATAGATAACGATAGATGTACAATAATTAATAGTAAATTATCGTGAATGGTAGAAGGTTATTCAAAGATAATCAAAAGTCCATTGTTTAAACGTCGCTGATATTTATATTAAAAGCAAGTAAAGCAAGTAAAAAAGGTAATGGAAGAGTTATGTTCATTTAAAGCAACGGATATTAAAACCACAACGATGTTTGAAATGATTCAATATACATATTAAACTTGCGCGATTGTTTTTTATTTACAAACTTCATCATATGAAAGCGAGATAATTAGATACGCTCAGAATGCAACCACATAAACATTTCATTGCAATACGGTTCAGTTTGTTTGATTAATTTTTTTCATTTTCTCACTCTATAATCATGCTATATCAGAAAAAGTCTTTTATCATTACATATCTAAAATTACGATATAAATAGATACAATTAAATTCGTGGAAGAGTAAAAAGGAATTCATAGGCTTGATAAATAATAGCAATCTTTAAATAACCATCGATAGATTGTAAAAGAATCGTAAAATATACACATCTTTGCAGATAGAAATTTTCACGGATATTGTTACGGATAGCTACTATTTAACTAATTTTTAAATTTCTGATAAAATTTCTAACAAAATCATTCAATTGATATTACGATGAAGAGTCCAATTGAATGATATTTAATTAATCTACAACAAAAAAGGAAGAAGCTAACCTAGTTCCTTGAAACTTCCAGGTCAAATAAATATTAGGTGACCAAACATTACCGAGTAAAAAGAATTATAAATATTATTAGTATCAGTTAACGTGATCGTCCAATATAAATTGCGAATTTCACTTTGATCGCGAACAAAGTTGATCAGAATGACCATTGTCATCGACGAGAAAAACCTTTTATTGTTACAAACCTATTGTCCCTGCTAATTAACAGTTGGTACTGTTGCAGCATACAATTAAACCTAACTAACCATGGCTATCTTTGAAAAGCAATATTCAGTTAAATTGTAATAGCAGCTTCTAAATGTCTATTATATTGTTTGTCTCGAATTTCCTCGGATTTCCTCGGTTTCCATTTTATTGGCAGGTAGAAAACTTAGACACTCCGGAAGAAACATATATTTTTTTGTTGACATTTCTCCCAAATCATTTTTCTATTCTCCTGGGTAGATATTAAGTGGATGAGTAGAACGACATTTTCCCTGGAAAGGATCCAGCTTAGCAGCGTTAATTAATCAGTGGCTGGATTACAACTCGTAATCGTTATCGGTGCTGTTATTAATCCAATGTGGAGTAGTCGATATTGAAAATATCAACGCCTACATTACATCGTTTCATTCATCCGCGGTACTTATATATCGATGGTCATCTCGTTTTTATTACTTTCATATAAAACTGCATTCTCCAACTTTTTGTCATCTTTATATAGTTTTCATGTTCCATTTTAAAATGTCAATGTTCGAACTTGACACCCTGACTCTATTAATTTTATCGCATTCACGTTATGTTTACTACCCTTTTTATAGTTTCATTTCATCTGTATTTATCGGTTACATAGGATGGCTCAATGTAAATATCTCGTAAATATCGTATAAATATCTCGTAAATATGAGTCAAATGAAACTTACTTTGTTTCGATGAGGGTATCTTGCGATGGTAACAAATCTCATCTTGCATGCGTTTATTCTTTTTTTTTTTTTTTTAGTGAAACTATTCTTCCTTTTTTTACATCATTCGATATACTTTTTAATCTCCTACAAAAAGGTGTTAAGGTACTTGGGTCGAAAAATGATTAATTGAAAAGAAAACTTAGCTTGAATCTTGTAAAATTTATCGTACGAAAGACGGGGAAAGATAACGTAGATAGCTTTCATATTTATGTTTCCATTGTCTTTCATGCACATAGTTTGACAAAATTAACATTGAAATCTTTTAAACTAGGTATTTTCAGACACAAATGTCTTAATACCTTTTTCTAGAGAATCAAAAGCTACATCGAATGATGTATAGAAAAAAGGTGTAGTTCCATTTAAGAAAACAGAGATCACCTTGAGATATGCAGAAATTTTCAGACATCTCGAAGAATCACCAGAGGACGTTCCCCGTGAAACAACAAGTTTTGTTTGAAATATTCGATATATAGAAAATAAATATATAAGAAATATTTACTTGGATCAATTAAAATAATACAACCTGTATAATTCTTCGTTCTTTGTAACTTACCTTCTTACGCAAAAGTCATATAAATTGCACAATCAAGAATAATTAATTAATATTCTTCCTCTCTTCAGATTCTATTACACAAAAGGATAATAAAATTCAAATTCTTTTTTCAACTTCTCAACACTGGTACAATAAAAATACGGATCGCTTGCAATTTTTATTTATAGTACCTCGTAGGATTACCACGTGTCTGTCCTATATCCAATATCAAAATCTTGGCGGTTTTTTATGTAACATTTATGACATTTTTTTTAAATCACGGTTATGTTTCATGCTCGATGGGAACCAACCAGTGTGTCACAGCTGTCCAAATATTCCCAGAGTTTACGCGTAAATACGGTATTTTATTTCTAGAGTATTTTTTTATTTTTTATTTCTCGATATAATTCTAGCACGATCATCTCAGCCAGATATGGGCTGTACTGTTCTCGCTATTTTTTTCTCTCTCTCTTTGAGACGCCAAAGAGACATTCATCTCACACCCCATTAAGAGCTAAAAAGGCTCTCAGATCAAGTACATTCTTCAACTAGATTTTCTCCTCTTTCGAGGTGCATGGACTTAGAACTCCGTACGTGTCAGACAGGAAGAAAGGTAGGAGGAAAGGAATTAATTTGTTGCCAAGAAGGTATTTGTAGCATATTTTTTATCGCCTACTCTACTAGATTTTCATGAAACAAGTTCGAGATCGTTCAAGTTTGGTCGCCTCGCCAAACTAGGAACAGCCGGTTTTGCGGTTGTCACATTCGTTTCAACCTGTGGCCTTCAGGAATCGATGTTCCGTCGATTATTGAAAAAAGCAATAATGGCTATTGTCGTTCAGCGAAAACGCTTCTTTTGCTATACCGGTCGCGGTTGATTAGTTAATTACTCAATGAAAGAGCATTACATATAGCGTGCAGATCACGTTCTTAGCGAAATTGTTAGAGTAACTTTTACTTGTTACAGCAACTCGCGTGAGAAGATCACATTGGTCAATTTTGCGGACCGAACCAATTTTATCGCGGTTACGTATCACTAAAAATGTCAGGTGCTCGTTAAAATGCCTGCACCTCGACATAAGGTCATGTAACTGTGAAATTCGTTTGCTCGTGAATGACATTTTTTACATTTTCTCACAATTTCGGAGAGGCGTCACCGTTCCATCCGGGAACAGAGAAAATTTGCGGCTAAAATTTTCGTACGGGCGAATAAATCGAATTTACAGTAACTGGATGAGACTAATTACACTCGATGCAAAGATTCGCGCAGTGTTATCCATATTGATCATCGATCCTTCCTTTTAAAAATTTTTATCGACGTCTTTCGCGACATATTCGACAGGGCGATTCATCTTCGTTCACGATATTGACAAGCTTACTTGAAAGCATATCCCTTACAAAACAAGAAAGAAGCATTGGAAATTTAAATAGCGAGCAATTTGCTTAATCTAAAACCGACT